GCGAAGGGGCGTGCGTGCACGTGGGTGCAGCAGCGACGAGGGACGGCGCCAGAAAGGTGGGGCGGCCGTTTTCAGGCGAGGCCAGCAGATTCAATAATTCAAATGCTTTTGAGCGGCCGCTCGTCGCTTGTCAGGCAGGCGGCACACGCAATGGGATGCCACGTGTGTGCCCACCTGCAAGCTCTCAAAAACCTCCGGCAGGGCCGCCTCAAGCCGCGCCCGATACCTGAAGTGCAAAGAAGGTTGAGATGATTGTGTATGTATAAGTGCATGTGTGCGCGCGTGTTGTTTTGGCGTGTGTGTGTATATGTGAGTGCGCGTCTGTGTGTGTGCAAGTGAGCCAGGTGTGTGCATGTGTTGTGTGTGTGTGTGTGTTCCAAGTGTGTGTGCATGTGTTGTGTGTGTGTGTGTGTGTTCCAAGTGTGTGTGTGTTCCAAGTGTGTGTGTGTGTGTGTGTGTGTGTGTGTGCGCGCGCACACACGCTCGCACACACACGCTCGCACACACACATTCGACTCAGCGCACCTGCTGGCGTTGCGCACTGGCGCTGTCGAGTTGTGCAGGATGTCTGAGGCCAGGAACAGCCGCGCAGTCTTGACAGGGGCCGGGGTCTCTGTCAGCGTCAGAGACTCCTGGGGGTGGCGGTTGGGGGCGGTGTGGTTGATGGTTGGGTGGCTGATTGGTTGGCTCTTTGGCGGCAGTTGGGACTCTTGGGGCAGCGTGGTGGGGGTGATGGATTCGCAGGTGAAGAATTTTCGGGTGGGTGGTTCCGTGCTTGTTTCGGCCGTTGGTTGGACGCTGACGGATTTGTTTTGACGCGTTTGGAGGACGCATGGCAGGGGGGGGGGGCACACGCAGCGCTATGACGGGTCGTGTGCGGCGGCCCCTCCAAAGCATGCGCCCATGCGCATGCCCCTGCGAGGCCTCGAGCTGGCGACCAACGCGGACCGCAGGACTTCTGCCGCGCCCGTGGCGGCTACTGCGCGGGTGATGCAAAAACGGCGGCCCCCAAGGCCGGACCTGCGGTCACGCCCTAGGCGCAGCCGCTCCCCAACCAGCCGACCCTCCCCCTTGAGCACTCCCCCCCCACCCAAAAGCGCCAATCACACCTTCACCCATCCCAAGAAACCCCGGCGATTGCAACACCCAACCCACCAAAAAGCACCGCCGGCGCCCGGACGCGCCGCAGCCCCCACCTGCAGGACTTCCACCACCTCGGCGGCAGCTTCCGCATGGTCCAGGGCAAACACCATGCCGGCCCTGATGGCGGCACCCCCTTCCTCTGAGGACGCAAAGTATGTTTCCCC